AACAGGACGGCAATGCACGCGCACTCCGCCCCGCGGCCCGCATACACCGGAAGCGGAAAAGTACCCCTTGCATCCTCGGCGCCACCTGGCGGCGCACCGCGCAACCGCAGAGGCCAGCGCCAGCAGCGCGCCCCTCGCCTCCGCGGCGTCCGCGGCCTGGCCTGCGTGCTCTCGCGCCACAAGTAGCCTATCGGGGCGATTTACTTAGCGGGGTCGTCGGCCGGGTGCCGCGTGCCGCTGGATGGCGCGCTGGGCTCCCGCTTGCAGTGCAGGGGGCGGAATATATTAAACCATGAACGGCGGGTTAACGCACGGGGTGGGGCTCGACTCGCGCTCCGCTGTGCCGCAGAATCGGGGTCGAGGCTGGCTTGCCGGGCTTGCCGGGCGTTATGCCGGAAAAGCTCCCCCTTCCTTGGTGCGGCGGCGCCCTCCCGTGCCCGCCCCGGCAGCCCCGGCCGCCCCCGCGGGGTGCCCCGGCACATGGCAGCGTGGCGGCGGCGGCACGGCGGCGGCCCCCAGTGGCATGGTGCACGCCGACGACGCCGAGGCCGCGGCCAGCCTGCACCCCTGGCGCGACATGACCTGGTGGGACCGCGCCGCGCTGCAGGCACCGCCCTGGCTGTGCCTCGACAACCTCGCCGCCTGGGACGGCACCGTGAGTAGAGCAGCCCCACGACGGTCCTGGAGTCCCCACTTTAGGACTCCACGCAGCGCGACGGTGGGGTCGCCCCCCGTTTGCAAGTGACCATTTGCGCCGGGGCTGCGGGGGCACCCTACAAAACACCCATTTGCGCACCCTCACGCCCATTCAGGTGTTTACGTGCCTCCTCGTCCGTCGAGTTTCATCAGCGCGTTCGACTCATCGATACTTGAACGCTGATCGAGTCTGAAGCACTCGCCTCCTTTGCTTATCAACGTCAGCGTCAAAGTCATGATTGGTCCAGCAAAACAATATAAACACCAGAAACCGCACTGTCACTGTCAACACCTAGTCCACACCTGTCTCACATTGCGGCCACCGGATCAAGCCCCGGTTTCCGAAAGCCATTTTCGTCGCTCTGTCTCGCACTCATGGAGTGTCACGTGCAGGTACGAGAGAGACACAGCTATGAGAACGGCTCTTGGAATCAGTCTGCAGGGCAGGGCTGGGTTGGGTGCCCTCCGGCCCCACTGCCCGACCCTTCGGGCCTTCGGGCCTTCGGGTCTGCGGTGACGCAGGTGTAGCGAGTCTGACATAACACGATATCAAACGGCCATGCAGGGGCACTGGGGGCAGGGCAAGGCAGGGGCCTTACGGCGGGGGCCACAGATTGTGTTTGCTATCACGCCGTGTGTTCGGCAAGCACATTAGGCTATCGGCTGGCCGGGTTTGTCCTGCCCCGCCGTGCCTGCAGTCTAGAGCTGAGGCACCGGCAGGGTGGTGGCTGGTCTCGGTCCAGGCCGTCTATAAGCAAGATCGATCTATTTGGCTTTGGAGCCGCCCCGGGCTGTGGTCTAGCCGTAGCACCGCCAGCACCGCCTGCACCCCGTCATCAAGTCTGGCAGCCCATTTCAGGCTGTTTGCACAGATAGCCCCGCGAAGCACTGGCCCGGCTATGGGAGCACCACCACGACGCCCTTCGTCGTGTGTGTGTGTATGTGTGTCTGTGTGCGAGTGTCTGTGTACTGTACTGATTAGGGCGGTCGCCGCGGGCCGCCCCGGCCAAACTACACCCCGCCCCGCCGCCGAGACCGCCGCGCTCCGCGTGACAGGGTGACAGTCCTTTGCGTTGATCCGCGAGATCACGCGGAGACCGGCTAGAGCTGGCGGCGGTGGCGATCCGCGTGGCGGGGCGGGGCGGGCGGGGCGGGGCGGGCGGGGCGGGGCGGGGCTGGCGGGGCGGGGCGGGGCGGGGCGGGGCCCATCAGCTGATGGTCCGGTCCACGTCGGCGGCCTGATAGAGCGGCGCGGAGGCCCGAGGCCCCGCGACGTCAGGTGGAGTCGCTGGTGATAGTGCGACCCGCAGGCCGCAGGCCGCAGGCCGCGGAGGTGGCGGAGCCGACACAGAGGGGACCCCGGCGAGACCTTGAGAAAGTTCCTCCTCCTCGCGGCACCGCGGCCGGGCCAGCAAGACACACTGTACAGTATACTCCACGCCACTGCCGGCAGGCCGGCTGGCCGGGTCGCCGTCGCCGCGGGGCGCCCAAGCCGCGGCTCCCATTTCTCCGCTTTTCTTTTTTCGAATTTGAAAAGGCGGTCGGCCTTGCCTCGCCTCGCCTCGCCTTGCCGCGCCGCCGGCCGGCCGGCCATCTCGACAGAGAAAGCTTTCAATCACGGGGAAAGACAACTTCTCGTCTAAATTTTCCGCCAAGTCACCGATTACGTTTTCGCGCGCTGGTTGCCTCGGCGCGGAGCGCGGAGCGAAGGCCCCCGCGTCCATAACCCGCGACACGCACGCGAGCGGCGGCCACGCACTGGCACACTGGGAGCGCTCGCCGTGCAGGCAGTGCAGGCCCTGATGATGATGTGTCTCCGGGGAGCTGACCGGACGCGGCGCGCGAGTTAACGCTGCAGAGCGATTCCGGACAACATCGCCTTCGTCTCTCTCGCACTCATCGGGCGCCGCGTGCCGGTGCGAGGGAGACAGAGCTGTGCGTGGAGTCAGTCTGCCGGCCGGCCCCCAGGGGGCTCGGTCCAGCCGGCAGCCCGGCTCGACTTGACGGGATCGAGATATCAGTCCGAGATTGGCCGGCGGCCGGCCAGGTTATGACAGGCACCGTCTGGAACACGCCCCGCGGCCGCGACCACCGCGACCACCGCGACGACGCAGTAATGGCACCAGATTGGGCGACCGGTGGCGGCCCGGCCCGGCCTGAGGCTAGGTGAGGCTGGGCTAGACTAGTCGCGGACGCGCCGAATGGCTTTACTAATGAGGATATAACGCGCCGACTGTCCGCGCTTAAGGCGTGGCACGCACAGTGGGCCAGATGGCCGGTGGAGGCGGACAAAACTCCAGACGCGTTTTGAGCTCCGGAGTCGCTAAATGGGACTCGAACCGAACGTGTGACCCCACCAATGGATTGCTCTCCGAACGAGGAATCCATTGGTGGGGTCACACGTTTTGTTCGAGTCCTGTTTAACGACTCTGGAGCTCAAAGCACGTCTAGGGTTTCGGCCGCCTCCACCGGTCTTTTGACCCACTGTGCGGTGTGGCGTGGCATAGCGTGGCGTGGCGCTGCATCTGCGGGTAACGACAACCCCCCGCAGTTGCAAGGGGCGGCCAAGGTCGAGGGGGGAGGCGACTTAGGTCGACTTCCCGGGCTGACGCGGCCTGACAGTGACAGTCCTGGGGGTAATCAGCAGCGACCCCAGCGCGGATCCAGGATGCAGGAGGGAGGGGGGGCGCTCGAATGGCCTTAGACTGCGCAGCTTCCGGATCCGCACTAAGGATCTACCCACAACTACCCCTTTAGTATATTAATTAGAACCAACCGAGAAGGTTCGGTTTGGTTCCCCCAAAAATTTCTGAAGATTAAACTCCAGGCTTCGCTATCGCTACAGATCATAGGGACGGGGCTCCGGCCCATGCAAATGGGCAACCTACCCTGCGAGCGCGAGGCGCGTGACGGCAGAGACGGGCAGCGCCCTCTGTCGGCGAACGGCCGCAGCGACGCTCCGGGCCACGCACGGCGGCGGCGGGCGGCTTCTGGCGACTGGCGTCAGTGCATTGGTACCTGCAACAGTGTACCGCCATGCTTTCGATTCGGTGTGATTCGAGTCCCGTCCAAACTGGGGCGGGGCCTTTGGCTGCTGCCTTTGGCCCTTTGGATGCCTTTGGCGCGCGTCCGGGCACTACAGCCACTCCAGCTCCGGAGAACCCTCCCGGGGGCCGCTCCACTAGAAGCGCGCTCAGTCAAAGGCCGCCTGCAGACTGATTCCGAGAGTCGTTTTCGTCGTCCTGTCCCTCTCGCACCTACACGGGACGCCCCATGAGTGCGAGGGAGACAGAGCGATGAAAACGACTCTCGGAATGAGTCTGCTGTAGGAAGCGGCTCCGGTCTCATTACCGGCCAGGCGATAGTACATAGTAAAGTCTGACTCCGGCGACCCCGGCCGGCCTGGCTGACGGCATGGCCTCTTTGCTTTGCTTACTTCCGGCTAGGCTCGGCCAGGCTCGCCTTCCTGTTCAATACCGCCTGCGTCACGGCAGGCTTCACGGCAGGCACGGCACGGGGAGGGCGCCGCCACACAGTGGGCCAGAAGTCCGGTGAAGGACGCGTTTTGAGCCCCAGAGGGTGCGAGAGAGACAGAGCGACACGCCTGCCTCTTTCTTCTGCCTTTTACCCACCCGGACTTTTCCAGGACCCCTTTCCTTCCGCGTGCCGCCGTCTCGTCTCCGTCGTAAACTCGGCAGATGAATTTGGCCATCTCAACGGCCTTGTCGACCTTGGCGACACATGTGGCGCGGCTCGCCTGGCCACGGCGCGGCCGCTCAGATATAGCCTCTCCGTACTGTACAGGTTCACGTGGTTCACGCGCGTCGCTGTAAGCCTCTCTAGATGATGACGGACCGGTGGACCTCATCAGCCCGTGCCGTAATAAGCCATTCCGGACCCGGCGGCCCACCAGCCCACCCCAGCACCGGCACACCAGCAACCCTCGGCAACCCTCTACAAAAAAAAAGCGCGAAATTTCCCTCAAATCAAAGGAAAATTTTTTCCCGCGATCTCTTTTGAGACTGGCCCCTTCATTCAAAATGGAAATGCCTTTGAGTTTTGACTGGGCCAATAAGAAACCCAGAAAGTTGCTGACGGTGTGCGAGGGATCCGCCGCCCACACGCCACTCACAGTGCCGTGTCGAATGGGCTGCCTATTCTCCAGGCGCCACATCCAGCGCGGACTCATTCCGAGAGTCGTCGCTCTGTCTCTCTCGCACTCATGGGGCGAAAACGACTCTCGGAATCAGGGTGCTGGACGGCTGCTCTCCGCTGGCCTGGCTAACCGCTCCTTGTCGTTGCAGGGCATGGCCTTCTCCCTGGCCGAGCGTCAGGCCCTCGGCATCCACGGCCTGCTGCCGCCCCGCTTCAAGACCCAGGAGGAGCAGCTGCAGCTGTGCAAGATCAACATCGACCGCTACACCGACCCCCTCAACAAGTACATCTACCTGATGGGGCTGCAGGTGAGTCTCGCGAACCGCGGTCGTTTTCGTTCTCAAACGCTGTCAAACCAAGTATGGACAAACGTGAGGAACTCCTTGCTGCGGAGAACGCAAAGTCCACACCTCCGCACAAAGTCTCTGGAGTTCTCCACACTTGGCTTCACAGAGAACTGGGTCCCATTAAAACTGGACTTTGAGGCTTGCCGACGGCAGTACGCAAGACTGTCGCAAAAAGGAATCCAATTGACACATCAGCAGACCGCCGCCCACATAAATAACGCTCTGTCTGTCTCGCACTCACGGGGCTCTCCGCAAGGGTGCGAGAGAGACAGAGCGACACAGTCCAGTAGTATTCCAATGCAAACAAACGGCCGGCTGGAGGTCACGGATTCGCGAGTGAGATTATCACGAAAGCCGCGTTCTCCGAACACCTCTGCGGCTTTCCGATTGGTTCGAGGCGAAGTGGCCAAAGTCCCGCAGACGTCGGGGCGCGGCGGGGGCCTCTGATTATACGCGGGGGCGGACCGTTGTTCGAGGCCCCGGCAGACTGATTCCGAGATTCGTTTTTGTCGCTCTGTCTCTCTCGCACTCACGTTCGCCCCCGAATAGGTGCGAGAGACAGAGCGACGAAAACGACTCTCAGTCTGCGGGGGCGCGGCCGGCCACCAGGCCGACCGTTTACTTTCAGTGATACCGCCGCCGCCGGGGCGTTAATCGAAGCACCGAGTCACAACATAACAACACGCCAGGCGCCAACGCCTCCTGGCGACGTCGACAAATGAAAAAGACTTTTGTTTTTCGGCGACTGTACTTTACGACCCCTTTTGATGACGCTGTCATGACGCTGCCCAGGACCGCAACGAGCGGCTGTTCTTCCGCTTCCTCTCCGAGAACGTCAACGAGTTCATGCCCATCGTGTACACCCCCACCGTGGGCCTGGCCTGCCAGAAGTTCGGCCTCATCTACAGACGGCCGCGCGGCCTCTTCATCACCATCCACGACAAGGGCCACGTCTACGACGTCATCAGAAACTGGTGAGTCTTGGGCCGTGGTCGAGAGCCATACGTTCTTGCCTGCGGAGGCGAATGACTCGGGTTCGAGACTGACCGTACCGTTGGTATTCTTTTCATTTTTTTTCCAGGCCTGAGAGTGACGTTCGCGCCATCGTGGTGACCGACGGCGAGCGCATCCTCGGCCTGGGCGACCTCGGCGCGTACGGCATGGGCATCCCCGTGGGCAAGCTGGCCCTGTACACGGCGCTGGCCGGCATCAAGCCCAGCCAGCTGCTGCCCGTCACCCTGGACGTGGGCACCAACACCCAGTCCCTGCTCGACGACCCGCACTACATCGGCCTGCGCCAGAAGCGCGTCAGCGGCGCCGCGTACGACGAGTTCATCGACGAGTTCATGAAGGCCGTCATCCGGCGCTTCGGCCAGACCACCCTCATCCAGTTCGAGGACTTCGGCAACCACAACGCCTTCCGCCTGCTGGAGAAGTACCGCGACAGCTATTGCACCTTCAACGACGACATCCAGGTCAGAACAACGATCCGCCGCGCCGAGAGGCGCAGTGCACGTGCAATGTGTTTGTGTCAACGGGACTTTGTTTTACATTGCTGTTGTTGTGTTCCAGGGCACCGCCTCCGTGGCCGTCGCCGGCATCCTGGCCTCGCTCCGCGTCACCAACACCCGCCTCTCCGACAACGTGCTGCTCTTCCAGGGCGCCGGCGAGGCGTCGCTCGGCATCGCCGGCCTCTGCGTCATGGCCATGAAGAACGAGGGCACCTCCGAGGCCGAGGCCCTGAAGCGCATCTGGCTGGTGGACTCCAAGGGCCTGATCGTCAAGAACCGCCCCGAGGGTGGCGTCACCGGCGAGAAGGTCCGCTTCGCCCAGGACCACGCCCCCGTCAAGACGCTCACCGAGGCCGTGAAGCTCGTCAAGCCCTCCATCCTGATCGGAGCCGCGGCCATCGGCGGCGCCTTCACCCCCGAGATCCTGCAGACCATGGCCGCCAACAACAAGCGCCCCATCGTGTTCGCGCTCAGCAACCCCACCAGCAAGGCGGAGTGCACGGCCGAGGAGGTAGGGCGCCACGGGGACGTCCCACAGTGGGCCAGAACACCGGTGGAGGCGGTCAAAACCCCGGAAGCGTTTTGAGCTCCAGAGTCGCTAAGCGGGACTGGAACCGAACGTGTGACCCCACCAATGGATTGCTCTCCGAGCGAGGAATCTATTGGTGGGGTCACACGGTCGGTTCGAGTCCCATTTAGCGACTCTGGAGCTGAAAACGCGTCCTGAGTTTTGGCCGCCTCCACCGGCCCTCTGGCCCACTTTAGCGCCTCCTGCACGCGAAGGGACTGGCTGACCTTGCTGTTTCTCGCCGCAGGCCTACAACCACACCAAGGGCCAGGTGGTGTTCGCCAGCGGCTCCCCCTTCGACCCCGTCACCTACAACGGCAAGACCTACCACCCCGGCCAGGGCAACAACGCCTACATCTTCCCCGGCGTCGCCCTCGGCGTCATCTGCGCCGGCGTCAAGCACATCTCCGACGAGATCTTCTTCCTCGCCGCCCAGGTGAGTGCACAGTGGGCCAGAAGACCGTGGATGCGGCCAAAATTCTAGACGCGTTTTGAGCTCTAGAGTCGCTAAATGGGACTCGAACCGAACGTGTCACCCCACCAATGGATTGGTCTCCGAACGAGGAGTTCATTGGTGGGAGTCATACGTTACCTAGACGTGCCCTGACACCCTCTGCCTTCTCCAGACCCTGGCCAACCTCGTCTCCCAGAAGGACCTCGACTCCGGCAGCCTGTACCCGCCCCTGGAGGACATCCAGCACTGCTCCTCCGTGATCGCCGAGGCCGTCGCCGAGCACGCGTACAAGACCGGTAAGAGCGAGGGCGCCTCGCCGTCGCTGCCGACGGGATGGGAAGTCATGGGGGCGTCATGGGGTGGTCACAACCAGTGGTGTTTTGCAACCCGACATGTAGTTAGTACTTCCAGGTGAAGGAATTGCGGTTAGAAAAGTTCGAATGATTTAATCATAGGGTGTCAGATCATAATAATGCAAATCACACGCGGAAAAAAGAGTAAGCTGTTTCGGTCAAACGAAAATTTAACTGAAGCAACTGCCGCTCGTACTTCCCGCGTGTCGAACCAAAAATCCAGCTTCTCGAATTGCATAACCATATTCCAGGTGGTCCTAACTCACTTTTGGTCATGGTGTTCGACAAGGCATAACGGCAATAACTCTCCTGGTGGGATGGTTATCCACATGTATTTTTTTCTCTCACAATCATTGGCCTGGTTTGCATGTCATGACTCACATCACAGGGGTGGCCAGCGCGTACCCCAAGCCCACCGACATGAAGGCCTTCATCCGCTCCCAGCAGTACGACCCGCACTACTCGTCCTCCCTGCCCGCCATGTACTCGTGGCCCGACGCCTAGGGGGGCACCGGGGCGGCGCGAGGACGCCGACGGAGGCCGAGGCGGCCGCGACCAGGTGCTGTATCACCCTCTGCATGCCGCACCCTCGCTTTCGTGCTTTCGCCCACTTTCCGCCTTTTCAGCCTCCCCTTGCCATTCTCGAGTTCCGTTCAAACGACTGCGCTTTCGTTTTCACGTTCAGTTTAGGCCATTATGGAGTGTGCTTGACAGAGCCGGAGGTCCATAGCCTTGCCTGGAACAATTCAAAATCATGTTCAACTTCCTCAAAGTGCGCAGCTGTGTGCATACAAAGCAATTTCGCATTCCACGTGGCTTCTGCATGAGCGACTCCCTCCCACTGCCCGAGCTGTGGGGGAAACATCTGTTTCCTTTCTCTCTCTAGCGCGGCCCAGCAGCGCTCTCTCTCTCGCTCTCCGGCTGGCGGGAGCCGCGCGTGTCTGGGGTGGATTTGGAGGGGCGAGTGAGAGGAGAGCAAGGACCCTTGTAAGAGACCTCCAACAAAATCTGTAATGTGTGAAAATATCTAATAGTGTTTTGGCGGGTGCAGGCATTGCCAACGTGTACCCGGAGCCTGCGGACAAGAAGACCTTCATCCACAGCGCCCAGTACAACTACCAGTACGCCTGGTCCTCCGCCCTGCCCGCCGTCTACGACTGGCCCAACGGCGCCGGCGCGCACATCTCCAACGGACACAAGGCCTAGGGACACCACCAAGAAGAAGAAAGAAAGAAGAGAATTAAAACATAAAAACAGAACGACGATTTGTCCGTCCTTGGGACATTCCGAGAACTCCCCGAGACTAATCAGTGACATTGTGATAATATGACGCTGTGTGAGTGTAGGCGATGATCATATTGATCGGAAAAGGAAATTCGTTTTCATTAAAATAAAAAAATGTTTGTGAACGTGGTCACTTGCATCTCCACGACTTTGAGGGACGAACCGAGGCGATTCTATCCGAGCAGCCTTGCCACGATCTCTTACCACAAGGAGGGCCTATGGCTCGGCCTAACTGTACATTTCATTTTCATTGTAATTTATTTATTTTCAGAGAAGGATTTTTTAGGGAGCGTGGGGTAAAAAATAACCGAACAATGGAGGGGAAGGGATGGGTTCACATGAAAAATGTATGTATTTTGTTCCATGATATTTCTGGAAATTCTGTTCTATTATTATCATTCCGAGGCGCAAGAAAAAAAATAAATTGTTAATTTAGGATTATTTACATTTGTAACTTTGTTCTTTGTTAGCACTAAGCTAGCACGGAGCGCATACTCCGAGTTGTTCTTCCATGCCTGTTTTTCTTAGAGAAATAAAAAACTGCATTTTTAAAGATTTTATTGTTATTGGATAACTTGCTTACCCCACACTTGTTCCCCGCGTGAACACGATTAAATCACAGATTAATTGAAAATTTTGAGAAAGACTGCTGTATCACGCGCCATTCGATTTCTGAATGGTGCCAATTGAAAGCTATCATAGCGTCACAAACTTCCGTTTTCGGAGACTCTGGGACGCCGCAATGGTCACCTCAGATTATCTGAGTGTCTAGCAGTGCTTGAATAAATTCCCTTCACTTCACACGCCAGTCGACCATCGCTCACTACACTGTCAGTCTAAAGCTGATCACTTCAGCGCCACACTTTGAACGAGGCCGCTCAACGCGCCGCGCGCCACAGTGTTTTGTTTCAATGCAGCCAAGTTTCTCATAAGCTGCTCCAAGGTGACGAATTTCTCATAGCCCACACGCACACACACACGCGCAGCAAAACACCACTCACTGGATCGCACACACAAGACACGTGCCTTGCGGCGTAACGTCGATTTGCGTAAGTTTATGCAGGATTCGCATGATTTTGTCGATTCAATCGACAGTGCTCTCCATTTTGTGATCAATTCTGTCCGCGTAGTGCGTTTAGTTGCGTCTCTCCGTCTCATAAATTGAAATTCGCGAGGAACCCATGCGGCTGTGAGGTTATGCGGCGCCCAGAGCGTCGTTGTATTTATGTGTCAGATTTTTAAAAGATTACTCTTGGTCCTTTTGCAGGGTTTGAAGGCGCACTTTCCATAGAAATATGTCATTCAGAGGAGGAGGCGGCGGCGGGTACGGCCGAGGTAAGTCGCTCTGTGTGTTCATTGGTCTTTCTGCCTTGCTGGACTGGTAGATTCCTGATGTCTTGTCTTTACTCCGTTGTTTACTTTGTAATGGTCTTACCGACCCGACACTTGATCAGTTTGAATTGATTTTGGTATTCATTTCCCATGTTCTTACAGTGTTATTATATTACATCTGTGTTGTGTTCATGTGCATCTGTAATCGTTATCATTTTGTTCATTCTGTTGCAGGAGGTGGCGGTGGTGGAGGAGGGTTCCGTGGTGGAAGAGGTAGAGGTGGCGGCGGAGGTCGGGGGCGCGGCGGTGGAGGAGGAGGAGGAGGATATGGATTTGATGGTCCTCCAGAACAGGTAATTATCATTGACAATGTGTCTCTTATTTGAACTAAGCGCACTGCGCTCTTATGCTCTCTTGTAACTCGGTTTTCCATTTGCAGGTCATCCCTCTTGGACACCTGTCACATACGTGTCAGAACGACCTTGTTCTAAAAGTAGACCTTGAAGATGTTCCATATTTCAATGCCCCTATTTACCTGGAGAACAAAGAACAAGTTGGCAAGATTGATGAGATCTTTGGCTCAATTAAAGACCAGTATGTTTCAGTAAATCTAGGCCCGAATTTAAAAGCCCAGTCTTTCACCCCTGAACAGAAGGTAACTGTCTGATACCTGATTCTGATCTGCTTGGATGTTGGAGGTGCTCACAGCTGGAGCTCTGAGTAATATCGTTGTCTGCTTTCAGTTTTACATCGATCCTGCGAAGCTCTTACCCCTCGCCAGGTTTCTCCCACAACCTCCCGGTGCCCCTCGCGGTCGTGGTGGCCGAGGTGGTGGCGGTGGGCGAGGCCGAGGCCGCGGGGGCGGTGGCTTCGGAGGCCGTGGCGGTGGAGGCCGAGGTCGCGGTGGTGGCGGCTTCAATAACCGTGGCGGCGGCGGTGGAGGAGGTTTCAGAGGCCGGGGCGGCGGCGGCTGGGGAGGTGGTGGCGGCGGTGGTGGCGGCCGAGGGCGAGGAGGCGGTGGCTTCAAGAGATACTAAATCTGCTTTTCCTTATTCAAGAAAATTTTTTTCTTTTTTGTTCTGTTGTACTTTTAAGGATGTGTGTGAGAACTTGTGCCGCATTGAAAATTCGAATTGTATTAGACAGGGCATAGTTTTTTTTTGAAGTGTTTTTCCTATGTCAAAGCAGCTGTGTGCTGCTGTTTAAATTTGAGACTTCAATTATATCAATGTTCTTTGAGACTTATCATGAGTTATGATATCATGTCGCATGGCGGAATGAATTTGGAATTGATTGTGCAACCATTTGTTGGAGGTGAAGTCTAAAAAGGGTTTAGGCATAGACTTTTTTTTATATGTAATTAGATGTAATGATGTGATACTTTTATTGTGACCAGGTGGAAGATGACATTGAGCCAGTTTGGCCTGTTGTTGTTAGTGTCCTTACATTGAAATGTATTTTGTTCTAAGCTCTTTTGTGCTTTTAAATACACACCAATGCAACCTGACCTATTTGGTTTGTTTTTATCTCCTTACTTGGTCCTCACAGTCAGTTAATTTCAAGCTGTTACAGTAATTTGAAACCTAGGCACAGGATAATTCAAATTTGATGAAAGTATACTAGACTGTAAGTCAGCACATACTTCTCTTAAATTAATTTATTTGCTGTAGGATTTTTACACATGTTTACTTTAATTATCAAAATGTAAATGAGTTGCCTTGACAATTTCTGCTTTTCTCAGAAGCTTCTTCTTCCCTTTTTCTGTTGGAATTTTCACCTTTTTCCCTATTTTTTCTTCTCTGTCTCTTGCAATTTTCTCCCAATATTCAGTCTCTCTCAATCCTGTAACAAACGACCAACAATGGATAAAAACTTTCAAACATGCCATGTTAAAACTTAAAACCTACCTGTAACAATAGACATATTCTTCCAAAAGTTTATTTGAAGTAGGTGTTGAGCCTCTGAAGGTCCTGAACATCTCAAATAGGCTTCAAAGGCTCCTTCACTAACATCAACATACTGGACTCCAGGTTGGGTCCTGGCTTCAGCCTATAACATGAAGAATCAAACATTACTTAGACTCCACTTAAAACCAAACATAGCAGCAATAAATCATTAATCAGTTGACTGACACGTACCTTGAAACCTTTCACATCAACCATTGGTTCATTAAACTTGACACAAACTATGACTCCTGGGATGAAGGTCGTTCTTGGTTTGGGAGCATCAATCGGTGGGGGAGGCGGCCTCATCTCTTCATTACGGCCATGATCCCAAGCAGGATGAGGTGTATAGGGTTGCCTTCGCATGAATCTAGCCTCCCAAACCTGCTGCTTTACCCTCTGCATGTTAGCTCTCTGCATTTGAAGGTATTTGTTCCTAAGTCTTTTCCATTCTTTTCTGAAATGGATCACAATTTATTTAACTGTAGCTCTTTAAGCATAAATAAAAGGATATTGGCATCACAAACTCACCTGGACAAAACTACCATTCCATTTGCAAATAGTTCCCTCTCCTTGGGGCGTTTTTTCTTCTTCCTGTTCTTTTTCTTCTTTTTTTCAGATGTTCCATCATCTTTGTTTTCTGTGCTACTTTCATTCTCACTCGTTTCTGAAACAATTAAGAATTGATATCATGGCAGATTATAGGGCAGCAAAAAAGAAGGCTTACTAGCTTAGATGCAGACTTGAAAAATCATACCAGTTTCTCTCTTGGTGTCAGTTCCATTCTGTTCTGAAGAAGCCTCTTCCTTTCCATTTCCAATCTTCTTTTCCTTTTTGCTACCACCTTTTTCATCACCTTCATCACCATCATTGCATTCCCGTTTTCTCTTCTTTAAAGATGGTTGTTCACATTCATTTTCATCTACAATTGTCTTACTACTGTCTTTCAGTTTTTCACTATCACAAACGTCAGTATCAGCTTCGTTGTCATTACAGGAATCAAGATTACTGACTTCACATTTTCCCACTGGTGTCTTGGATGTATCATTGGGATCAAAAGTTCGGATGCTACACAATTTTTCTGGTAGCATGTGAATGGAGAGACATCTGCCCTTTTCTTCAAATATCTGGGGACACAATTTCAATAATAATAGTAATAACAATAGCATAACTCAAAGGGAAGAGAAGGGTTTTTGAACTCACTCGAATAGTTTCAGCAGCCTCTTGGACAGTGTCAAATTCCACAAATGCAAATCCTTTTATTGCACGTGTGCTGTGATATTTTGGAATTGAGACGTATACTACTTTACCAAACTCTGAAAATACTTTCTTCAACTCATCATGGGTAATCTCTGGTGGCAGGTTTTCCTGTACAGTTAGAAGCATTAAGATGCATCACATGATAATGGACTTGACAGAATTTAAAACTATTAAGACAACTCATTACTCACCACATAAATAGTGCACTCATCTTCATTTTCCTTAATTTTAATTGGTGTCTTCCTATGCACTTTAAGAGAATCCTCAGATAACTCCAAAAAGTCAGACTTTTTAATAGCTTTTGCAATTTCTTCAACTGAAGACACTAGCTGAGTGATTTTGTTGAATTTCAAAAATTCTTCAAGGGGAACATCTAGAAAATGAAATGTGAAATACATTAGGAAATGCAGCAACTATATGATCACCAATCCAGTAGAAAATAACAAATTAGGGCTCACAAGGGTCATTTTCAACCATCTGTCTAAGCATCCTGTCTTTTGAAATATTTGCATCACTAAAGTAGAACTCCATCTGTTCGCGTACTGTTTTGTAAAGTAGTTTCTTTCTGCGTCTTTGCTTAGTTTTGATATTTTCTTCTGATGCATCGAAACCTTCCTCCATGTACATGTGTTCCCCTTGCATGTTACCTGTAACAAAAATTTCAGGTGAAAGCGAGTAAATAAATGCAAATGGTGTGATAAAGAGGTAAGAACGGACACGAAATCAGAAGCCGTAGCATTGAAAGGGTCTCTGACATGACTCAAAACATCTGTATGATGAGGTTAGGTTACTTATGATCAAATCATCAGCCATGTAAAGATTGTCATTGAATGTAAGATTACGTCGTGAGGAAAGGAACAACAAGACAAATCCGATACAAAGTAAGATTATGACTGACACTTAAATTTAAAACAAAAATGAATGGTCCCATATACGATAAGTCAAACAAGAACCAAACTCAGCCCAAGGCATAACTGTCTGAAGAAGTTTGTTACTATTGAGAAAAGCCTTACCGTGAGGAACCATCCATGCCATTTTGATCTTCTCTCAAAGTTACAAAAGTAGTTGCAAATGCAAACTACCTTTAAAAACTCTGTCCGGCAAAAGTTTGTTCGTTCGTAGCTTCGTAACAAAACAGACTAAATTCGACAGTCAATTTTTTGGGGCTCCGTGATTGGTCCGTTCGAATGTCACTGCCTTCTCGCTGGACGCAAAACGTACCCAAAGTCAAACGCCGGCAAAAATGAAATTCCTGAACCTGTACATGAACGTGCCTCTCCATAGCCTCATGTTTCAGTCTCATGTTTGGTAATTTTCAGCTGTGGTGGTTATGCTTTGCCCGTTCTGAATCTGGTGCCTTCCTCCGTGAAGATGGCTGATATATTTTATTCTCGAGACGCTATCCAACTGCTTAAAGGAAAGAAGTTGTATATGATCGGAGACAGCAGTAAGTAGCATTCGGTCCAGAGAGATGAGATAGCTCGATGGCCGTGTTTTGTGTTTTCGACAGGTTAAAGCGCACAGTCTATCTTCTGGTTTCCTGTTTCGCAGATATGCGTGCCTTGTACAAGGATGTAATTTGCCTCCTTAATCACAATCGGCTGTTAACCGAAAAGCAACTGAAATCTAAGGTATGTCACCTGTTGCCTCAAGAGGGTGTGTGGGGTGGGCCTTCTTGTGATGTTGTGATTTCGTTTTTCTCAGGCAGAAAAGCATTTTCTTGGAGATGTCTTGCTGCGTGGCTCACCCCTGACAAAGGGAAGGGCTTTTAAAGAAGACCGACGTTACCTGGTTAGTGTGTGTTGGTCAACAATAACGTTACAGATCAACCATCACATGAGTTTGCATTATGCTTTGTTTTTTATCTTCTCAGAGAAACAATCTTCACGTCGAATTCCACTTTGTCACTAAATGCTTGAATGAAGATATGGAGACAATGATGAGTGACTTTAGGGAGAAGAGAATAACATCCCCCGATATAATAGTGATGAACTCAACTCATTGGGATGTTGCGAGGTAAGCAGTTTTTGATTGAACAATCTGAAAATAAATGTTCGAAATTGGCTCAACAACTGCCTATGTAACCAGGTGGGGTCCCCGTGGAGTAGAACTGTTCAAAGACAACATGGTCAAACTGATGCACCTGTTCAAGTCATCTCTTCCACCATCTACGTTAGTAATATGGCTAACTGCTCCCCCCATATCTGTGAGAATATTAGGAGGCTATATGATAAAGCAGGTAAGGAAGACACCTCCTAGATGTTCGCACTGGTTTTAGGAACACCATCTAACTTTTGCTGTACCCCACGCAGTTAGAATTTGCGCAGTTCACGATGCGCTTCCATGTGATGGAAGCTAATACATTTGCCCAAGAACTGATGAATCAGTTTGGGTTCAACTGTTTAGATGCCCATTACCACCTGCAGTGGCAGGTTCACTGGTGAGTGCCCTGCCACTGACTGCCTGTGTCCAACACGCACCTGCACTAGTTCGGCTCTCACCTCCTGAGTGCCGAGATCTGGAATGGACTTGCACTGGCTTCTCCTTCTCTGTTACACTAGGCGAAACCAAGACGGGCTGCACTGGTCGAGTCGAGGCATGAGGTTCCTGGGCAACCTGCTACTCACTCACATAGGTAAGTGAACCTGGGTTCGACTCCCGCCCAGTAGACTTATTTCGAGAGTCGTTTTCGTCTCTGTGCTCTTGCATTCATGGACGCCCCATGAGTGCAAGAGAGACAGGGCGACGAAAACGACTCTCGTGGTGAGCCTGCGGGTCGGTGGGGGTCTCCACTTGATTCTCGTCGTGTTTTCGGCGCAGCCCTCGCTCTCGGCGTGCCGCTGCCGGGCAACTACCACACCAGCTTGCTGAGCAAGCACAAGGCCCTGGCGAGGAGCCGCGCGGCCGCGGACGCCGCCAAGGAGACCAGCAAGGAGGCCGGCGACGAGGCCACCACGGCCGTGACGCCCCAGGCCCAGGTGCCGCGGGTGCTGGAGCCCTCCGCCGGCCTGCCCCCGCCGCCGAGGGCGCGCAACCCGCGGCCTCGCGTCGCCGTCGCCGTGCGCCGCCAGCCTCGGCAGCAGCAGCAGCAGCAGCAGTACGACGACGCGGCGTTCCGGCGGCCGCGGCCCGTCCGGAGGGACGTCGACGTGTGGGACCGCGGCCACCCGCCGCAGGCCATGGGGCCGCCTATGGGGCCGCCTAGGGGACCCCCTATGGGACCCCCTATGGGGCCGCCTGTGGGACCCCCCATCGGACCCCCCATGGGGCCGCCCATGGGGCCGCCCATGGGACACCCGATGGGACCCCCCATGGGGCACGGCAGGAGACCGCAGTACAGGGGTGGCTACTTCGTCCACGGCGGCACGATGGGGGCGCCGCCGCTGCCGGCCTACCCCGCGCCCGAGCTGCCGCCGCTGCCGCCCGGCCCGGAGCCCGGCGACGGCCACTACGCCAACGACGACTGGGGCAACATGAACGACAATGCCGGTACTGGTAACTATGGCGGCCCGCCCCCGTGCACGTGCCCGTCGTGCTACTCGTACCTGGGGCCCGCCGCGGACCGCTCCGCCACCACCTCCTCGTGGAGCAGCGCGGAGCCGCCCGGAACAGCCCGACTTTGTTTTTAATTCCCGGGGAGGGGCGGTCGGCCCCGCCCTGTCGGGGCGCTCGCGGCTTGGCAGAGACATTGTTAGGATTCCGCTCCGTTTGTGCTGTCGGCGCGCTTAGCGTACTCGTCGGGGGCTTTTATTTTTTCGGGTGAATGGACCTCGGCCCCCTTTGAGTGGGCTTTGACGGCGTGATTGAGCAGGGTGTGCTCGCGCCCCCCGCTCGCTCTCCGGCAGAGGAGGGAAGAAGACTTTGGCGGGAGTTTCGCCGCCGCGTCCGCGTGGGCACCCTTTGGGGGTAGGTGCGAGGAGGGGTCGTCTCGCCTCTCTGTCTCTGTCGCACTCCTGGGGCGAGCCGCAGGGGCCGCAGGGGCCGCAGGGGTGCGAGAGAGACAGAGCGACGGCACGACTCTCCGGAATCGCTCGGCGAGAAAACTTGGTCGCAGCACGCGCTGGCTTGCTGGCTTCGCTGGCGTGGATCAAGACTCCGGTTCGTTACTGTCCGGTTGCCGAGCCGAGCGTGGCCGAGCGCCGGGCGCGTTGGCGGGTCGAAAGGCTCGAAGGCCGGAAGTCGAGTTTGGAAGAGTCCGCCGGAGCGCGCGGCGGGGCGGCGACGCGGCGGCACTTAATTTCTCACGATGTGCTGCAGGCCGATTCCGAGAGTCGTTTTCGTCGCTGTGTCTCTCTCGCACCTACACGAGAAGCCCCACGAGTGCGAGAGAGACAGAGCGACGAAAGCGACTCTCGGAATGAGCCTGGTGGTGGCGGTGCCCGACCTCGCGCTGGGGGTCGTCCTCGCCCCCGTCTCTGTCGCACCCACGCGGGGCGCTCTGGCGGCGCCGTGAAGCCGCCAGACCGCCCGCCGCGCCACTACAGGATTCCAGCGCTGTGCGCGGCAAAATTAGAAAAATAAGAGAGGTACTCTTATTTTTCTAATTTTCCTCCGCCGTCCGCGTTGTTCCTCGCGGTCGGCGACAAACCGCCGCGCCCCTGCTCCAGTGTTGATTTTTGTTTTGGTCGCTGTGTGCAGGGGCGTTCTTCACGGCGTTCTCGGAGCCCCAGTCGCCCCAGCAGATTCAGTCGCTGTGGGGGCCGCTGAGGTCAGCGCGCCCGAATTCGGGGCCGTCTAGACGACCGCGGCCGTACTGAGGGAGGACGCTGTAGTGTGTTAACTTTTTAATTGTATCGCTCTGGCGATATTTGTTTGACTGAGCCTCTTGAGGCACGCTGTGTCCGTTTCTTACGGGTTTGTAATGTTTTTGTATTTAAGTTATAAGTAATTAAACTACATGCTGGCACGCTGTGAAATTTATTTCCTAGGGTTTTTGTGATGTTTTGTATTTAAGTTTTTTAAATAATTAAAATACTTGACTTATTTTGTCTTTGTTTTGTTTCTGAATGATTTGTTGATTTAGAACCATTCGCCCCAGTGTGGTCATCGGTAAGAAAAGATCCGTGGGATCCAGGAGTCCTGCAGTCGTCCGCCGCGAGCAAGGGGCAAACAACTCCGAAAATTTTTGTACACCGTTATTTCAAATTCAAGAAATTTCGCGTCATTTCATCGTTATTTTTCGTTATTTCGACGTCATGTCATCGCAAATTTCACGTCATTTTACGTTATTTCGACGTTCTTTCACGTTTTCAAGGGAAAACGTATAAGTACTCCCAAATTCAAGTTGTTTCCCCCTCGGCCGCGACGGTTCCTTTTCGAAACTTGTGAGAAATGATTGCGGTATCCGTGCCGGCCGTGCCGACCGTGTCCACACCTGCCGGTCGCCATGCCGATGACTCGCCGCGTTTTCGTGTCACCTGTCTGCCGGCCGCATGCAGCGTGCTTGCAGTGCCCTGGCCTGCCCCGACCGGACTGTACTTGGCGTGTCGCGGTGGCCACACCGATTCCGAGATTCGTCGCTCTGTCTCTCTCGCACCTGCACGAGGTGCCCGTGAGTGCGAGGGAGACAGAGCGACGACTCTGGGAACCGGTCCTCGGGTACACGTTTCACGTTTCATGCCGTTTCGTGCGGCCGACGTGAATTCGCAGCGTCGTGGACGATAATGGCACGGTCTGCGCCGCGCGCTGCCTCGCCCTCGCCCGCCCACAAGCAGGCCGTGTCCGAAGTTGTTTTCCGAAACTCGGCAAGTTTCCGAGTCCGAGCAGCGCGTGTTATCCATCCAGGCCGCCGCCCCCTTTGAACCCGCCCAGGTCCGAGGACGACAGTGTCTCAGCCCGGGTGCTTGGCGGTGCTTCGCCTGGATTGGCTCGAAATAGGGCGCTCCTGGAGCCATTCGCCTCCATGTAGTGCCGCCCGAACGACCGCTGCAGGGTTCGCTTACGCACTTTGACGGCACCGGCTCGGTCGCGGACCGCGAACCGGCGGGGCGGGGCGGGGCGCACCCTGCAAACCGAACAGTGTGCTTGGCACACCTCACCTCCATGCACAGTCCACGTGTGTGCTAGGCGTGCACACTGTTCCCAGCACACTGTCCAGGACCGTTTGCTGCACGTTTAGGAACAGTGCATCCGACCTGGCTGCGTGTTGCAGTGTGCATGTAGGCGCGCTCCAGGTGGAGTGTGCCATGCCCACTGTTCGGTTTGCAGAGCAGCTGTGACGTGCGTGCCGCCGAAGGCAACCAAAGGCGCGTCCTCTACATCACGGCGCAATTTACCACCCCCGGAGCCCCCCCCCCCCCCCCCCCCCAGGCCCTGGTTGCCACAGAAAGGCGGCTGGGCCGGCTCGACCCGGATGGACCATCCCCTGCTGCCTCTGCTGCCGCCTCGAGCGCGGCGCGGCGGGGCGGGGCAGGGTGGCATCCCTTTGAGAGCTTGCGCCCCTGCGCTGCGCTTGCTGGGCTCGCCGGGGTGGGGGCGGCACGGCACGACACGGCCCGGCTGCCAGCCCGCCCCCACCGCCCCCGTCCGGGCTGCTCTGCTGCTCCCCGCTGCCGCCACAGCTGGGCCTGCGCTGCGTGCTGCGCGTGCTGCCGCTGCGGCGGGGGCAGTGGAGGCGGCGAGGGCCCCCACCCGTCCCCGCCCCCGCTAGCGCCCCCACCCTCGCCGGCTTGGCTCGCTAGGCCCCTCCTAACCGGCTCACCGGCGGGGCGTGGCGGGGCGTGGCGGCGCGGAGTGGGGCCCGGCTGGCCCGGGCACGGCGGTACGGCACGGCGACAGTGATGCAAGGCGCGCCGAGGGCTACGGACATCAGCAAGCACACCGTCGGCGGCGCCCTTTGAGCCGGCGCGTGCGTGCCCGCGTGTCCGTGTGTGTTTGTGTGTGTGTGCGTCCGTGCGCGGGGCCGGGCCAGGCAGCCGGGCCAGGCCCGGGCGCGGCAGCGGGCCGGGGGCACGCAGGCGCGTGGACCGCCATGGACAGCGGCGTGTCCGTGGACTACAGCGCGGCGCTGTACCTCAACACGAACGGTGAGGGCCTCCAGCACGACGTCAAGGACAAGAAGGACGAGGAGGCCATGGACGGCAAGGCGGCCGACGGCGAGATGAGCATCTGGCCCGCGGCCAGTGCGGGCTTGGAGGACAACGCCGGCCTGCTGCCCCCGCACCCCACCAACGGCCTCAGCATCCACAACGGCCCCAACGGCCTGGCGGTGCACAACAACGGCCTGGTGGGCCACAACGCGCCCAATGGCCTCAACGGCATGTCGTCGCCGTACTTCCCCGTGTTCAACGGCGGGGTGCAGCGGCGGGCCATCACGTCCTCGCAGAGCTACGCGCACCTGCAGCGCCACGGCGCGCCCCACGGCGCGCCCCACGGCGGGCCGCAGCCCCAGTCGCAGCCCATGTACCACCTGGGCAAGTCCTTCACGCCCTCGCACTACGGCCAGCCCTGGGCCAGCCAGCACGGCGTCATGCACGGCCAGCAGCCCGCCATGGGGCCCTGGTCCAGGACGGGGGGCTCCAGGGGCGGCTCGGGCGCCCCGATGCCCGGCATGGTGGGGCTGCCGTCGGGCGGCCACCACAACCGGAAGGCGAGCCCCACCTTCGGGCAGCAGCACACCGGCCACACCGGCCACAGCGCGCACAGCAGGGTGCTGACGCCCACCAAGCAGTTCCGCCGGAGTAGCACCTTCCCGACCAAGGGCATGTACGCGCAGCCCCCGTCCTTCGACGTCGCCGACGAGAACCACGTCATGTACCCGGTGAGTAGCGACCTCCACGTCCCAGAAAGGCTAGCCAGCGGCCCGGGCGCCGGTAATGGTAATGGAACGCGGCAGCCAGGCGGCCCGGCGACGGGCACGCATCCGGGACGGCCTACCCCGCAGGCGGCCGCCGTGCCCCGTCCACCCCAACGGCCGCCAGACCACGCCAGACGAGCCGACGCCGACGGCGAGCCACAGGAATGCGCTTGACCTTTCCTGCATCGGGCTGGCCCTCGGTTTCGGCCCTCGGCCTGGCCGGCCCGGTCGGACAGCGGTTTGCTGCAGTGCTGCAAAGTTTGTTGCTAGCTTGTTGCTCGGTGCACGGGGCGGGGCCTCGGGGCGGGGCCTCGGGGCGGCTGTCCGTCAGAGCGGCTTGCGGCCTCTCCCTGGAACCACTTGGAGGGCTGCGCCGGGCTGCGCGGCACCAGCACGTGGCCCCGGGGGCGGCGGGGCCCGGGGGGCGGCGGGGGCCCCGGGGGCGGCGGGGGCCCCGGGGGCGGCTTCCGTGACCGACCGGGCCTCTGTCGGCCATCGACGCGAAGGGTGAAGGGTGCTCCAAGGGCGGGGCGGGGCGGGCGGCGAAAACAAGCCCAAGGTTTGGTTAACCGCGGCTGGCTTATCAGCCACGCCGCGTCGCGCGCGTCGCGGCCGCAGGACCTGATGGCACGACCTCATGACACACACTGACTGACGCGCTGAGCGCAGACACGCTCACACACATCAACACACACACATCACGCAGAGCTCACGCCCTTATTTGCGTACGTGATAGCTCGGAGACGCCGCTTCTGCCTCGTCACAACGATGCGTCTCCGCCTCGATGTTCAACATGAACAACGCACGGGCGTGTTTGTCGCCGCGCCGGTAGCGCCGTGGCGCCGTGCTCCGCACGCGCGGGGCGTCGCCGGCCCCGCCAGCCCCGCCAGCCCAGGCCCAGCCGCCGCTCTGCTGATGACAGTCTTTTGATAACAAACTTTCGCCGCGTCGGTTGCTGCTCTTTTTGTTTTCGCTCGTAGTTTCGCTGGCGGATTCTGGTGCCGTGTCAGCGAGCACTGTTGCGCGGCCGGCCGGGCCGGGGTCGCCGCGGCCGCACAGTGGGCCAGAAGACCGGCGCAGGCGGTCAAAACTCCAACTATAGAGTCGCTAAACAGGGCTCGAACCGATCGTGTGACCCCAGTAATTAATTCCTCGTCCGGAGAGCAACCATTGGTGGGGTCACACGTTCGGTTCGAGCCCCGTTTAGCGACTCTGGAGCTCCAAACGCGTCTAGACTTTTTGGCAGCCTCCACCGGTCTTCTGGCCCACTGTGTGCCGTGCCTCGGCCGGGTAGGCAACCCGACACTGCTTGGAGGGGAAGAGCGCCCCGACGCCCTGCGACGCCCTGCGACGCCCTGCGAGGTGGCGCCGCCGCGCCCAGCAGCACCGCCGGCACCGCCCACGTACGGCACCTTTGCCCGGGCGGCGGGTCAGGGTGAAGGGGCCCGAAGGGGCGGGGCGGCAGGGGCCGAGGCCCCCGGGGGGCGCGGGGGCGGCCAGGGGGGAATGCGGTTAGCTGGTTCCTCTCGGCCGCCCCCCCCTCCCCCGGCTGCCGAGTTGCGCCCCTTCCCTCAAACTGTGACAGCTGTGGCCTTTACATCCTCGTGTCTCGGGAGTGCAGCGGGGGCTGGTATGCCGCCGAGCGCTGGCACGACGGCGCAACGCCTGTATGTTCGTGTGCGTGTGTGTGTGCGCGCGCGCGCATGTGTGTGTGTGTGTTTGTGTGTCCGTGCGTGCGTGTCGTGTGTTCGTGCCTGCGACGCCGAGCTGGGATGCTAACCATATGGCAGCATCCGTGTGATGCGTGCCCCGCTATGCGTACCCGTGCGCGCGCGACCCACCCCACCCGGCCCGCCCCACCCCGCGGCACCCCGCCCCGCCCCGCCCCGCCAGGGCGTGCACCCCTTCCCTTAGAAAGGTCGGCGGCCAAGCCGGCAGGTAGGCAAAGCCAGACACTGCGGCGCGGCGCTTCACGTGTGTGTGTGTGTGTGTGCGTGCGTGTGTGTGTGTGTGTGTGTGTGTGTGTCCATGCGCGTTCCAGCCTGGAGAAGTTGAAATGAGGCCGTGCGCTCTTCCCCCTTGCCTCGCG